TGGGACTTTGTTATGACCGCCCCAGGAAATGAACACAGGAACCTGGTGATGCAGCCCCCAGATGGCAACTGTGTCCTTTTAAGAACCAGAGAGAGGCGGGTGGATCACCTGAGGTCAGGAGTTCAAGCCCAGCCTGGCCAACATGGTGAAACCCCATCTCTACTAAAAATATTTTTTAAAAAAACTAGCCAGGTTTGGTGGTGGATGCCTGTAATCCCAGCTACTCGGGAGGCTGAGGCAGGAGAACTGCTTGAACCTAAGAGATGGAGGTTGCCGTGAGCCGACACAGTGCCACTACGCTCCAGCCTCAGCGACAAAGTAAGACTCTGTCTCAGAAAAAAGAAAAGAACCAGGGAGAATTCAAACACGTCTGTTTTATGATGAAACACGTCTGTTTCATCAAGAGATCAAGAGACTCTCTTAAGTTAAAGAGAAAAATGGAAACGTGAAAATGCTAAGCTCTTTTCTTTCTCCTCCTGTCACCCATGTTCACAGCGTAATCTTGATCGTATTTCATTTGAAAGACCAGCAAAATGCACTCCGTTTCTCTCTGTAAACCTCACAGATGTCATCAGTTGATAGCAAAGCCCTACCGTCTGCAGAGCGAGCCGCAGGGAGGGTGTGGGTGCCCTCGCCTTGCCCTCAGGAAGGGGAAACCAACCAACATTTCCTGTGCTAATGTGGGGCTATGAATTGGGCCTCGCTGCTCTGAGCATGTTAATTTGAAGAGGAAACGCTGGATTGTTCCAATGAGACTATCTATATTCTTGGTCTACTTAAGATCAACTCAAGGGTGCATTTCCTATCTATTGGCATCTGACAGCTTGAGGCGATGCAAAGTAAATTGGCCTGGACCTGCCATAGTTTATAGATGGAGACAGGGCAGGCAATAGTGTGAGAAGATCAGGTGTAACGTGCAGATGATTCAAGAAACACATGAACTAAATCAAGATGCCGTGCAGGGGATGGGTGGTCCAGGGTGCATGTTCAGAGAGTGCAGGGCGGGTGCTGAGATGCAAAAGAAAAGATGCCCTTCCTGGCTCTGGACGGGTCTCGGTGGAGGCGCAGGAGCTACTGCTGGTTTTATGAGAATGTGGGGACTTAAGACCTCTATGGGAGAAATGCAAATATTTGCAAATAGGCTGGAAAAATAGAAACATGCCCTGTGCATGGCTGAGAACAGTAAACTGTGGCAATTCCTCCCATAGTCATTTCCAGGTATAATGAAATTCCAGGCTAAATCTCAAAGGGACCATTTGTTGGAACTTCACCAAATGCATGAAAAGTTTATCTGGAAGACTAAAGAGGAGAGAAGACCTGAGAGAAAACTTTGAAAAATAAAAATGAGTTATTTACCCAACCAGATGTTGAAAATAGTTTATGAATCTACAATATGGTCCTGGCTTAAAGGAGGTTAAAAAACAGATCAGAGGGACAAGATAGAGATCAGAGGAGCAAGTCTAGTGTCCTGGAGAGGTCACATCTGACCAAGGGCGCATCAGAGATAGGGACAGAAATGGGTAAGAAATAGACAGTACTGGCCGTACGTGGTGGCTCATGCCTGTAATCCCAGCACTTTGGGAGGCTGAGGCGGGTGGATCACCTGAAGTGAGGAGTTTGAGGCCAGCCTGGCCAACATGGCGAGACTCCGTCTCTACTAAAAATATAAAAAATTAGCCAGACGCGGTGGCGTGCACTTGTAGTTCCAGCTACTTGGAGGCTGAGGCTTGAGAATTACTTAAACCTGGGAGGCGGAGGTTGCAGTGAACCGAGATCCCCAAAAAAAAAAACATTAATTAAATAGACGGTATTTCATATCCCTTCACATTGTACACTGAAATCAATTCCTGGCAGAGACAAGGATTAAATAGAAACAGGAAAACATTTTAAAAATAGAACTGCTTAGACTGGGCGCAGTGGCTCATGCCTGTAATCCCAGCACTTTGAGAGGCCAAGACGGGCAGATCACGAGGTCAGGAGATCGAGACCATCCTGGCTAACACGGTGAAAACCCGTCTTTATTAAAAATACAAAAAATTAG